TATTTTAACAGCATATTCATCTGAACAGATAAATTTATTTATAAAATATATAACTATGTTTATGGGACGTGGTGTTTGTGACATTGACATTTCGATAGGTGTCTTTGAATGTTTTAATATTGGCACGAATCTTGTCCCTAATACATAGCAGCATTTTTTTTGATTTGTTGACAGTTTTGATTCTAGACATACATGGCCGTGTCATAAATACCCTATCGTTGCCTTCGAAACCTAGTACGGTTTTTAACGATCTGTTCCATAGCGAAGTCCACTCCTTTCTTTTAATTAATTTTTAATAAACACAGGAGTATTGCTTTTTTCGAGAGACCATGAGATAAAGAAATCAAAACAAAAAAGTTAATTATGCACTCAGGATACAATTTTTGATCCTAGAAGATATCAATTGATTTAAAGTATTTCGTTTTTGAAGTAAGTCAATACATTTAAATTAAATTATTTATCTGGGTCTACAAACACCATGTGTTGTTAGTTTTTGAAAATATTTTTTATGAAAATATATTCATTATACATTTTTAATAGAACGCATTTGGGGTTTTTGAAAAAAAAATTAAACAAGTTTATTATTTATAAAATTATCTAAATGGAATACTATAAGTTACTTTACTAATATTAACACCTGTTACGAAACTAATGCTTTATTTTTCACAATTTATTTACGTGATTAATCAATATAGGAAAAATTATTGACTTTCAATTTTAAAAAGCTTCAAGTGCATTTAGATTTTAGTATTATTGTTTATTAAAAATATATATATGTTTGATTTGATAAAATAATAATTAATTTCCAACAATAAATTTTATCAATTATATTTCATCATTGGAAAACGAGTATTACTTGGATAATATTAAGGTAGTATAATAAAAGTTTAATTAAATTTTATTTTACTAACAATAATATATATTACATATGTTAATTATAAGCTAATATATAATAATAATCTAAATAGTAAACTGATGTTACAAAATATCTTATCAATTTGTAAACAAGAACCATTTAGGACGAAGAAGAATCTACAACAAGCACGTATGTAAGTAAAAAGCGCTTCATGCGTTCTTTCCTATGGTAATAGGTGTGTTTTTTTGTCGTATTATTTTTTTGTCTTATTTGGCTTCCCTTTTATTTGCAGATGCGGTTTTTCGCCCGTTCGGGTTTTTGTCCGCATTTAACTTAATTATTTTTAAAAAAATATAAATAAAGTTAACTTAAACAACTTAAAAACCTTGTCTTGTTTTTTCATAAGTATCTTAAATATTTATGTCTAAACTTAAATAATTATTACAGATTGGATATAAAATATTATAATTTTCTACTGATATTATTTACGTTTAAAATAAATGATTAATATCCAAATTTGATATGAAAAATTATATTTAATGATAATTTTGGAAATTGTAATACAATTTCCATGTAATTCAACTTCATACTATGGAGTATAAAACTATTTTTATTAACTAGTAAAAGAAAAGAAGCTTTTCATGAAATTTATAAAATTATTATTTAAATGAACTCAAATTGAACGTCCTCTGTGGTATTCACGCGGTTTCGTTGTTTTATTTTGTGTTAAGTCAGGCTATGTCGAGAAATTTAATAAGGTGAATGGACTGTATGAATGAATGTAGAATGAATTTTCAAAACATATAACAATTAAATGCATTATACATGAATCATAAAATCTTATATACTCCAATGTGGATAGGGAGGACACTCAATACTAATGCCATAATGGCGCTGATATAAACAAATAATAAACTATAAATGAGAGTAAGACTTAAAAATAAGATGAATAAACATTATACTTATCGACTAATTGAAACGGCTAATGATAATATTGAATATTGAAATGATCAAATGAATTTGAATGCCAGTAGCTGATTAACGTATACAATATGCTGTGAATGGTACTGTGATGTATCTCAGAATATATATATACCCAACAGCTATCTTTTAAGCGCACAAGGGTGTGACAATCGCTAAGGTGATATTTTTCTTTTTACAGCTAAACGAATACAAAATTACTGGCTCGTCAGCGCCATAGAGTATAAAGCTAAAAAACGCTAAGATGGCGTTTTTTAGCTTTTAACATAGAGAGAAGAACGACAACAATTCGGTGTAGCACAACGATAGCATAAGTAATCACAACACACAATTTCTCGACAGCACATTCGACTAATGTGTATCCAACATTATTTAAACATTTTGTTGTAGTATAAATTTTATACAAAAATTCCTTTATTATTTGTAAAAACGTAAAGAAAAAAACGGTAGCACAGTGGGGTATGAATTTTATATTTAATAATTTCAATGTAATTTTTACGGAGAAATTGTAAAAAATTATAAACTAATATATTTTGTTATTTCTACGACAAACATGAATAAAAATTAAAAAGGCTTGATGCAATACTTAAAAAACATTTTTTTTTCGCTTATAAATAAATACACTGGTCTACAAGGAACTTTCATCAGAAACAAATGTATACTTTTTAAAATCAACTTTCCTCAATGACTTTTTCTATTACTTCTAAATTTGATATTATTACTAATTATTAAAAAATTAGTATTTATATAGAAAAAAATTACTAAAAACAAAATAAAAATTTGGTTTCAAATTATTGCTGATTTTGATTTTTAATATCTTAAAAATAATCATTGTAAAATGTCATTTATACCCTATATTTTTTAGTCCTTTAAAGTTGTTTTTTTTTAATTAATATTAAAAATAAATAAATATATTACCATAACTGTTAGCTCATCTTCAAGTTTGAAATTGACATCAGTAATTACAAAATTTTATTAGAATTAAGTAATGGTATTAAGAATAATATGCTGTCAGGAAATTTTATAATTTCTATTTACAGTAAATTTATCAGATAAGTTCAATATTTTTTTTTATATTTTTATTATAATTGATCAATTAGATTGATATCATAGTCATCATTTCTAAGTAACTTTTGGTGATTAAAAAGATTGAAATTATTCAGAACTTAATTAATTTAAATGATTTACTTTAACTAAAAATCCACTCAAAACTTTGTTAAAAAATCTACTGAAATGAATGTATTATTAAATTTGATTATAATTATATAATTGTAAAAATCTATTGTTAAATTCAAGTGATACTAAAAATCATTTTTTTAGAAATGATTTATATAGCAACATGTTACCAAAAAAAAAAAAAATGGAATATTATAGACAGGTGGTAGCACACACAAATAGAATTAAAAAATTAATAAATTACAAAGTGAAAATTTTTTTAATGTAATTGATATCTATTATCTTATCAAACTTCAGTAGAAGAGAATGTAGGCTAAGTAACTTTTTAATTGATAGAGTAAATTTTTTTTTAATTTTTGATTGTAATATCTTCAACTAGATATGAATTGTAATAATTTGACGTTTCATTAGAAAAAGTAGGTCAAGTGAGAGCTGAGATAATAAATGATAGTCACAAAAAAAAACCTTTTAGTAAAATAATTTCAATATGTATTAGAAATGTCTTTTCACAGTGGAAGGCTACTGTGATGGGAATTCTTGATATTTATTGAAGTTATTGAATTTAAATGAGATAAAAATCAAATAAGTTGAAACATTTTTTTCTAACTCAAAAAGAACTAAGAAAAAATGCAAGAAATTTCATGGCCACAGGTGGGTCGAACCTCATATTTTAAGCGTGGAAGACAAGAGTGTTATCAACTTGGCAACCGTAAGTCACATTCGTCAGTTGATAAAAATGGCCATTTATGCTAGATCAAATATTTAAGTTATTTTTCTCGACTTTAAAGAAACAAAAAAATTTAAATAAGTTTGACTTTATACCCAAATAATATACGAAGTATATTTAAAATATATCTAAATGTATATATAAAAATGTCAGTATTTCCGGAAAATTTTCAAAAGTTAAGTTGAAAAGTTAATATCTTGAGGAAAAGTTATCATTTTGGACCTCCCTATGGGCAGATGAAGGGTTAGATTTTCAATAAATACCTAATGTATCTAGAAATAAAATTTGTTTCTATTCATCTATTTTTCAAAAAGTTATAGCAGTTTTAAGTAAAAAAGTTTAAAAAAAGTCGAAAATCACCGATTATTAAAATAGTAATTTTTTTTTTGAAAATTCTCCTATTTATAGAGAATACGTGATTATTTTTATTTTTTAAGAGTAATGTTTTCAACTAGATATGATTTGTGATATTTTAACGTATTGTTCATCAAAATCAGTCCAGTAAGAACTGAGAATAAAACAAAAAAGAAAACACAACATCTTAGTAAAATTAATACCACTCAGCTTCGCATCTAATCTAAAAGAAATATGTTTTGTAAAGCAAGAAAGAATATTGTATTTTCCAGAAAAAAATGATAGTGTTTTATTCTTGTTTATTTATTTATTTTTAATAAATCACTGAAAATTTAATAATTAATAGTTTTGCAAAATTACCTTTATGTTGTTAATTAAAATAAAAATAAAATCACTGTTTTTTTCGGTAATTACATTACACTAAAATGCCTTAAAAGTAGTATCGTCAATGTGCGGGCAAACCGCCGGTGCAAGTGGTGCATTGCACTGGAGCCCCGATTCTTTTAAATATTTGGGGGCCCCGATATTATGATAATTGGTACTTGGTAAAATGTATATTTTGTTTTTTCAAATGGTGTATTGAATTTTACTTTGAAAGTTTATTTAATTTATTCCCATCGATGGTGAATGGTAATTGTAAATGTTTGATCGATATTCGATTGTTTAGTATTTATTTTTCTAGTATATCAATTTTAAGTATAGTAAAAGAACAAACTAAAACTCTAAATATTAAAATGATAATTGACAATTTTGTCAATGCAAAGTCAAGGGAAAAATTTTTTCTAAAATAGAACATCTAAACATTTTACTTTTCACTATTATATTGAAGGCTGGCTTTATTCTGTAGATAATAATATACTATTATTTTTATTATATTTTGTACTCTATTATTTTGTAACNCTTTGATAGAGGAAGAAGAAGAAGTGTCTGCTTTTGATTTGGCTAATTTTTCTAAATCTCTTACTGGAGGAGAGAATTTTGACGAAGAAAACATTAATGAGTGGATAAATTGTGATGCCAATGATCCAGGATTTGAGCGTCTTAGTGATGAACAAATAGTAAGTGGAGCATTAGATACAGTTTCGGAAAGTGAAGGTGAAGAAGAAGAAAACGATGAAATAAATGATGTAAAGCAAGTGAGCCATGAAGAAGCTCTAAAACATATAGACGGGATCATTAAATATCTAGAAGAACAAGACGATACAACTCTGTGTGACAAAATGTTATTAAAAAAACTTCAATCACAAGTTAAAAAGAAGAGTTTTCAAACAAAGAAACAAAAACTTTTGACTGATTTTTTTAATTAATTATTTATTCATTTAACATTTATTTAAATATTAAATATTATTTATTTTAATAATTTATATTTATTATTATAAATATATTGTGAATAAATTTAAATAAATTCAATTTCAACTTAGTTTTTATTGTAAAATTTAATTTTGCGGATTATCCGCGGAATTCGTTTATCCGTGGATGTCCTGCCACCCTATTCCACGGATAATCGGGAGTTTACTGTATATAGTTATCATAATTGTATACTTGTGACTTTTTTTATAACATTTTTAAATTAGGGGCCCCTAAATTGTTTTCGCACCGGGGCCTTTAGAGTTTAAGATTCGGCACTGAGTATCTTTACTATAACTTGTATTTCAAGTTCAATTACTACCCAATACTGTTTAATATATACTAGAGGGGGACAAATACTTATCATACATATTTAAAATATAACCTTGAAATCATACTAAGTAAAATCTTGGCAGCAGTGTTAGCAAAATGATCAAAAGTATTGGTTATTGTCTTTTTTCAATAATTCATTTTACAATTTAACTAGAAAAATTATAAATAATCTTTTGGATTAAACTTTGGTAAATATTCTATTTATTTTTTCTTTTGTATTTATCTGTCATAATTAAAAAAAACTATAGTACATATTTATTATAATTTTAATTTAAGCTCATTTTCAAATTCAATAATAAATTTTTTTTAAGAAAATTGTTTTTTATTGTTTGATCTATTAGGCCAAAGTTAATACAACAAGTTTATAAGGAAAAATAAGTACGAAGTGTTATTGCTAAACATCTTTTAATAAGTAATATCATAGTAAAATTATATAAATTTTAAAATTTTGCTCTTGGAGTTACTTTTATATTCTAAATTAAGTTAAAGTAACATTTAAAGAAATTTTAAATGATTTACTATCCCCAAGAACCCCATTAAAGTAAATATTTTAAGTGATTTTAATCGAGACTATCATAAAGTTAAAAATTAATTTTTATCTATTAAATAATTTTTTTTTAAGTTGTGCAATTTTTTTTTAATTTTTTTTTAGTATCATCATCTTATAATAAAATTGCCGACTTGAATAATTAAATTTTGACTAATAAGTAATTGTAACACATCCCACTACCTCTGTCGTGGTTTTAATTCATTTCAACAAAATTTACTTATTCAAATTAAAATCCACTAAACAGCATTTTTTTTATCTTTTACATAAGAATCATTTCATTCCCAATTAAAATTTGTATTACTTGAGTATTGTTTTTTTTACAGTATAAGACATCGAAAATACAATTTTAAATATATCTTAGTTGAAGAGTTTTTCAATCAATCTCATTAATAGATACTTCCGTAACAATCTTAGCTTACATAACTGTTTTAATTGAATGAATTGTAACTATCCGCTTTGTCCTAATCATTTTGTTCGAACCTCTTCTTTTTTTTCTTAAATTGCATTTGTAATTTAAATAAACATTTATTACTATAATTACAGTTCATTAATTACACAAGATCATTGCATATATAAAGCCAACAACTGTTTAATTAATTTATATACTTTTATAATTCTATTAATTATAATATTTTGGAAAAAATGAGTATTTTTCTCACCATGGAAACTTTTACAAAACTGTTAAATTTATAAAATATGTTAATATCTTGTTATTATCGTGCTCGACTGCTAACTAAATGATAGCCCAGTTTCAACTGTACTTTCAGTTTATGATTACAAAATAATTTTGTTACCACTAATTAATTTATTCATTTTTAATTGTAGACTTTGAGATATTGTCATTATTCACTTTGCTTGGACTTCCCCTGTTATAGTCTAAAGTGTAGATCACAAATAATGGGAATTGTTTTTCAATAAATTATTGTTGTTAACAGTTTATAACTTATACATTTAAAGTATGTGTAAACATTAACGTAGTTTTTATAGACTGTGAGGGCTTCAATATCTATAAAAATATTTGTAGTACCTCAAGTGAATTGAATTTTTTTTTGTGGGGGGTAAAGCAATGTAACAATGTAGCTTCCGTCAAGTTATTTTTCCAAATTTAAAAACTAAATATTAGACTATATTACCATAGACAATTTTCATAAACTACGCTCATATTTATAAATAATTAGCAACATGATAAAAGTTCTCCTTAAAAAAATACATTTCGGTTGGATTAACCGAATATTCAGTTCCAATTGTTTTAATTGTAGTTGTTACTACATTAATCAATTATATGATTATTCTAACCGTATTTTTCCCTGCGTACTATATTTATGTATATTTCATAAAATGAAAATAATAACAGTGTTGTATAAATGTTATATTTGTTTAAAGATCTGAAAGGATTCTGTATGCATTAGCTTATATTATGTCAATTGTAATTTTGTAAATATATTATCCATTAACATTTCAATAGACTTTGATCACAATTGAAATGTATTATTAAGCCTATAATACAATAAATATTGAAAACTGTTATAATTTTTTAGATATGTTATCTAATTTAACCTTTGATTTTTCAGGCACATGTTTCCTAAATCTTAAAATATTTTGTTTGAATGAAACACTTAAAATTCCAACATTGTGCAGAACTCTTACAAAACAAAAAAAGGTAAACTTTTTACAATCATTTTTTATTTTAAGTATATTATATTTACAGTAATAAACTATAATTAAAATGTAAAATTTAGGCAAAAGCAAAAATGAACAAAAGTTTTGAAGTGCTTTTATTGTCGTATATGAAGTGTTCTGAAACTTACTGTGATAAATTTATTGATAAGAAAGTTCAATCGTCATAATTTTATATATTTATATATTATTTTTGTAAGTCAATAAGTTAATTAAATTTAATATACATACAAATTTAAAGTAATATTGAACATTCATACTTAAAACTTCACTGTGTTTTGAAAATGTTTAGCAAAAAATATAAGCAACTCCTTCTTTTCTAAAAAAAAGTTCTAAATATATCCCTGGAAAAAAGAAATATTTTGTGTACTCTATATTAATAGGAACCATTATTTTTTGTGTAATAATAAGATAGGATAAATTTCAACCAATTTTGTTAGACAATTTATTATTTTAAATTTTTTTCAGGTAAACGAAAACTTGAATTGAAATTATTTGTTATACTGCTATTTTCACATTAAGTTCAGTTTATTTATTTTGCCGAAATGTTCGATTATTTTTATGTGTATATGATTGGATTTTTAGACATTGCAAGTCTAGGATTAATAATGCCTGCGTTGGGTCGTCGTCTTAGAGAATTCGGCGCTTCTCACTTCCAAGTATCTTCTTTAGAGTCATTATTTTCAGGTCTACAAATGATCACAAGTCCAATAGCTGGAACGTTAAGTGACCGATATGGGCGAAAACAAATGCTAACATTATCTATGATAATAAGTGCCATGGGATTTTTCGCTATTGGTCATTGTTACACTTATATTTCAGTTGCAATTATACGGCTAATATTTGGTTTTTTAAAACATACACTTATGTTGGGCAGATCACTATTAGGAGATCATATTCCAAAAGAGCATTTGATTAATGCTCATGGAAAAATGAACAGTTTTGTATCATTAGCTTTCATGATTGCTCCAGTTATTGGTGGTCGTTTGTCAGAACAACCGAATGGTTTTTTCAGTATAGCCTGTTTAACCAGTTTACTTTGTGTTTTTAATGTTGCAATTATTGTTTTATTTGTACCTAATAAAAAAATAAAAACCAATAGTATACAAAAAGGTATGTTGAATAACTTTAAAGAATTAAATTGGTCTCTCTACTGGCCGTTATTAATTATGCGATTTATGTATATGGCTACAATATCTACAATTATGACAACTTTAGGTCTAGTATTAACTGAAACCTATAAGCTTAGCCCTTCTCAAGTTGGTTATGTTATATCATTTAATAGTTCTATAGGTGTAGTCACTGGATTTTTTGTATCTAAACTAGCCACTATTTTTAAGTCATATAGTACATTTAATAAATGTTTTTACAGCTTCTTATTGTTATCTTTTGGACATTTTTGTTTTTCATTTCAACCAAATTTAATGTATTATTTATTGTTTACAATCCCCGTGAGCGTTGGAGGCACATTAATCGAAGTTTTTTTAAATCAGTTATTATCTGAACATTGTAATGATAATAATAGGGGTTCACTGGAAGGTGCTATGTATAGTTTTTCCGCAATTGCACGTTTCATTACTCCCATGACAGTAGGTGTATCTATGGATAAATTTGGTGCACGAGGTGCATATCTATTTGCATCCACGGCTGCTTTATGTGGTGCTATTTTAGCAAAGTTTTATGATAATAAAAAAGTCATTAAAAAAATTCATAATTCATAGAATTATTCAAAATTACATTATGTATTTTGTATTAAATAAGTTTTAATTAAAAAATAAATTAATTGTTCTATTAAATGATATATTTGTTTTTATTTTTTGTTAAGTTGATCTTTAAATGTATATGGACTATTTTCAAAATTTGGTTGCGAACTTCATGATTTCACTTCATAAAAGTCTTGAACTATTAATTTTTAACTACAAATATATTTATATTTTTCGAGTGCATATTATAAATGTATATTTTAGGGTTATAAATACATTAATTATAAAATATTATGATTTTACTAACATTTTCAAATGAAAATATTTATGAAAATAACCATATTATTTAAAAATTGTATAATATTATAACTTCATCAAACAGAAAAGGGCAGAAAAATTTGGATGCTCGGAACAAGAAGATTGACTCCAGGGGTGCTCAAAGGATAGGAATTTCAATTCTCATTATAATAATCATCGCATGTTAAATATACATTACTATTATGATTTTCTGGGGTAGTAAAACATTTCTATAAAAAAAATGAGGTACATAAATTAGTTTAAACATTATACCTTAAAGTTAACAAAAGTTAATTAAAGAATTTATCAAAATATTTTAAACATTTCATTATAACAGTTTTATAAATCTTAAAAAACTGTAGTGCTTTAAATAAAATAAAAAATTGGGTTGATTTAATAAAAATATTAACAAATTAATATTTGATGAATTTGGACAACACAATATTTTATTTTTGGTGAAGAAATTTTTAAAAACAATATAGGTTAGATAGGCTCTAGTTGACAAAAATATTTAATGCACTAAAATATAATAACAATTGTTGCTACTAAAATAGTTATAATAGATTAATTTTAACAAAGGAATAAGCATTATAAATTTCAATTATTCATATAACAAATACTTTAAATATATTTTAAAAAATTAATTTATAATATGAAATTGCTACTTGAAATTTACACACTTTTTTTGGTAAATACTTAAAAAAAACTATTAATTGGAAATAGCTTGTTTTTCAATCTGTTGTTGATATTTTTTCATTCTATTTTCTAATTCTGGTCTAAAATGACGTATTAAACCTTGAACAGGCCATGCTGCACCATCTCCTAGTGCACAAATAGTATGTCCTTCAATTTGCTTACTAATTTCCCATAACATATCAATTTCTGACGTTTGAGCTTGTCCGTCAACAAATCTGTACATTATTTTATTCATCCAATTAATACCTTCACGGCATGGAGTACATTGACCACATGATTCATGTTTATAAAACATAATTAAACGAGCAATAGCTTTTACAACATCTGTTTGTTTATTCATAACAATTACAGCAGCTGTTCCTAAACTTGTCTGTGCAGCTATTAGTCCATCAAAATCCATAATAGCAGTATCACAAACATGTTTAGGAATGAGCGGTGTAGATGATCCACCAGGAATCACAGCCAGTAAATTATCCCAACCACCTATAACTCCACCAGCATGTCTTTCAATCAATTCTTTTAATGGAATAGACATTTCTTCTTCAACAGTACATGGAGTATTTACATGGCCCGATATATTAAATAATTTTGTTCCAGAATTTCTGGGTCTACCTAGACCCAAAAACCAGTTACCCCCCCGACGACATATAGTAGGAGCAACAGCAACTGTTTCTACATTTGATACAGTAGTTGGGCATCCAAACACACCAACATCTGCTGGGAAAGGAGGTTTCAATCTCGGTTTACCTTGTTTTCCTTCAAGAGATTCAATTAAAGCAGTTTCCTCACCACAAATATATGCACCAGCACCTCTATGAACAAATACATCAAAATCATATCCAGAATTGCATGCATTTTTGCCTATTAATCCAGCTTGATATGCTTCACAAATAGCTTGTTGTAAGTTAGATGCTTCATTGTAAAATTCACCACGAATATAAATATATGCAGCACAAGCACCCATAGCTCGTCCTGCAACTAGACATCCTTCAATCAACTTGTGAGGATCATGTCTCATAATTTCACGATCTTTGCATGTACCAGGTTCACCTTCATCAGCATTAACAACTAAATACTTAGGACGACCGTCAGAAGGTTTATTCATAAAACTCCATTTCATTCCAGTTGGAAAACCAGCACCACCTCGTCCACGTAAACCAGATGTTTTCATTTCATTGATTATATAGTCAGTGCCTCTTTCCAAAATTTCTTTAGTTTTATACCAATCACCACGTTTAAGTGCTCCTTTAAGTTGCCAATCATGACGTCCATATAAGTTAGTAAAAATTCTATCAGAGTCGGGAAGATTTCCATAAGACGCTTTCAATTCTGGTGTAGCTGCAGTACTACTATTATGACAAACTTGTTTTTCAAATTTTTTAAAGACAATATTTGTTAAACCAAATCCACCATGACCTTTAGTAACTAAACTTGACCTCACTAATATTGAACTATTCATTTTAAACTTAAAATAGCGAAATACAATAAAAAAATATATATATTGAATAGGTTATACAAGATCATACAAATATAAATCAATGAGATATACTTTTAGTAATGTTTGAAAAAAATCTACAGAGCAAAACTCTTTAATGTCACTTATTTATTTCACAAACTAATGAAATATTTTTATTGATACGGTTATCAGTAATAAATAAAAAATGTAGCACTTAAGGTTGATAAATCCATCTTGGAACAAAAAAAAAGCCATTCGACAAAAAAACATTTCAATGTTGCCAAATTAAATATTTGATATGATTATACTCTCATAGATTAAATACACATTTAATGTGTATTAAATCACATGTGTATTTAATCTATGATACTCGTGATAAATTATAATAATACACAATAAATTTGTGAGTATATACTTAACAGGTAATTTTAAAATTTTTGATTTATTAAAAAAATAAAAAAACACTTTATGAAGCATTGTAATTCAGGTAAGTCTAACAATTATACCAGTTATTGAAAATTGACCATTTTATTGTATACATAAGTTGAACTTTCATCAGGCAAATATAGCCGCTTTAGCCATATCAAACCATAATGGTGTAAATAACCATTTCATTTTCAACTAGACCCCATTATTCTTTATAGTACTAACTTAAATTAATTAGATATTAAAAACAATTATTTGTAATTACACAAAAACAATATGATATATTAAATCATAAATATTGATTATAATAAAAAATAATTAATTTTTTTTTCAGGTGAAAGGAAACGTTGATAAAGTAGAATTGTAACTTTCAAAATCTACTTTTAATTTAATTTATCATTATTAAAATTCTATTTTGTTTACATTTTTTTTTTTTTACTAAAAAATGTTTGAATACTTTTATATATTTGTTATTGGATTTTTAGACATAGCAGGTCTAGGTTTAATTATGTCTAGTTTAGGTGTTCGTCTCAGGCAGTTTGGGGCTTCTCACTTTCAAGTAAATTCACTAGAATCTTTATTTTCAGGAATGCAAATAATGACAAGTCCTATAGTAGGAACACTTAGTGATCGCTACGGTCGAAAAAAAGTTATCACATTATCAATGTTAATAAATGTAATATGTTATTTTTTGATGGGTTATTGTTACACATTTTTATCATTATCTGTAGTTCGGCTAGTATTAGGTGGTTTGAGTCACACAATAATGCTAGGAAGGTCATTAGTCGGGGATAATATTCCTAAAGAGCATTTAATTAGTGTTCACGGAAAAATGAATGGTTTTTTCTCCATAGCAATGATGATCTCCCCAATTATTGGAGGAAGTTTATCAGAAAAACCAAATGGATTTTTCTATGTAACCTGTCTTACTAGTTTATTATGTATTTTGAATTTGAGTGTTATTATTTTATGTGTGCCCAATAAAAAAATTAAAAACGGTAATGCCAAAAAAGGTATCTTCAGTCAATTGAAAGAACTAAATTTTACTGTTTATTGGCCCATATTATTTATGAAATTTACATGTATGGCATTATTTTTAACCTTAATGATATCATTTAGTATGGTTCTAAGTGAAAATTATAAACTTAGTCCATCTCAAATTGGATATACTATTGCTTTTAGTAGTTCAGTTGGTGTAGGCACTGGATTTTTTTCAGCAAAAATAGCATCTATATTTAAATTGTATAGTATTTTCAATAAATGTTGTTTCAGTTTTTTGTTAATATCATTTGGACATTTAGGCCTATCATTCCAACCAAATCTATTATATTACTTAATTTTCACAATTCCAATAGGTATAGGAGGGACTCTATCTGATGTGTTTTTAAATCAATTATTATATGAACAAAGTAATGAAAATAATCGAGGATCAATGGAAGGTGCTATGGCCAGCATTTCTGCCATATCACGCTGTATTACTCCAATGGTAATANGCTATGGCCAGCATTTCTGCCATATCGCGCTGTATTACTCCAATGGTAATAGGTATTACTATGGATAAATATGGAGCTCAAGGTGTTTACTTATTAGCATCATTAACTGCTATGTCTAATGCTGTAATAGTTAAAATATTTAACGGTAAAAGAAATAAAAAATACAAAAAAAAACTTTAAAAAATTGTTTTGGTTAAGCTTTTATTTTTAATGTTATCTACTTATTTTAAATATATTTTTATGGTATTTAGCTAATATTACATTTTTTTACTAAAACCTTATTTTTAATTTTAGAGTATACACTGAAGTGAGTGTTTTTATTTTAATGTAAACAATGCATAACTGTTTTATTTTAGGGTTTCTGTTAATTGTTAAATAATTGTAAATGTATGCTATATACCCCCAGGTCTCAAAAATAGGAATTTATGGTTTATGAATAAAAGGTCTATAATTATTATAGTCATATTAATGTAAATAATTAAAGCGATGACATATTAACGTACTAAGTCACAAAAACTAAATTTTACAGAACAAGGAATCGACGTAAAGACCTTTGACAATCGCTTTTTTGTTTTCAACATTATATTTTACTGAAATTCGACTTATTTTTCAATAGATTATTTGCCTATATATTTACTAATCTTTTTAAGTAAAAACAAAATTATTTTTTTGGAATTTTGTGTTATTTTTGAGAAGATCCAAGGAAGTTAGTTCGGTCAATATATATCTATAATTGATAGTATTGACACAGTTTTTTATTGATATACTTATTTAACTGTTATGAGATTATCCAAGTAAACCCTTCTATGATAAATATTATTTAATTGTAAATGAACGTTATATTTGTGACTTCGGATAAATATTATATTTAATGAAAATCGAATTGATAACATCTACAGTATATGAATTTGAACGCATAATTTCACGATTTAAAAAACATCGACGTAAAACAACTTATAGTTAAATTATGAAAGGTGTCATTAATTGCATATAGACGTTATGATGTAAAGTTAATTTTACGAATTCATTTAGCGATCCTAGAAAAGTGATAATAATTTTGTAACAGGTTGAGTTGAATTGCTTAGATCTAAAAAACAAAAATGTTGCTTTTGTACTTTTTTTAATTATTGTTTAAATTAAAATTTAGTGTTATCGTTTGATTTACTGTTAAGTAAAACATTTATAACTAATGTTGATGTAGTATTACAAAATAGCATGCTGCTTGTTTTGGACTCTCGTGTGACTCAGTTCCCTAAAATTTAATGAATCATAGCTCGCTGATAATTAAACAAAATAAAAAAAAATTGTCCTATCTAATTTGATTATATATAAAAAAAAATAGGGTTAACATTTGAAAATTGAAAGTTGATACTGATTTAAAGCATAAGGGATGATCATAAAATTGTAATTTTACTCACTGAGCAGTTCAAGGTAGAAACATAATATTTCATAAAGAAAAAAAAGATAATTCTTATATTTTCAAAAATAGTTTGTAATGCATAGTTAATCAATGAAAAAATCACTGTATAATAACTTTATAACTTTAATGTATATAACTTTTATATACATTGTGATTCATTTAGCATGATTCACTTAATTGAAAAAATAAAAATAGTTTTTATAATTTTGTTATATTCATCGTTTATACTTTATTAGGGTGTCGATTTATTCTTAATTTTTGAAGTGGAAATAATACTCACTTAACTAGTTAATATGTCATGAACTCATAATTATTATGTAAATATTAGTTTTAAGGAATTTTTATTATTAATATCTAGAAAGTAAGAAACATTATAATTATTAGAAAGTGTAATATTGTTAATTATATCATTAATTGTTAATTATTCCTAATAAAAAGGTACCTGATCACTGACTCGGTGGTCAGTGTTCAATCGGTAAATGTTACATTATGATTGTTATTATTTTGACTCTTTCTGACAACATTTATCTGTGTGATTGAACTTGGACTTAGAACACCCAGTTCATCACAAATAAAATAGAAAATGATGTAAACAACGAAATGACTAGTCTGATAGTCGAATACAAATTTTGTGTCAGCATTTTGGAAATTAATAACATTTTATTGAATTACTGTAAGTGAAGAGTGAGTGCTACTAATTTTAAAACTAGATATTTCCTGGGTGTTTTTTTCCTCCCTCTTATGAATAACTTCTGAAATACAGGTCCAATAGTTGTTATAGACGAATCATTTTCTTAACTAGTAGATTATATATGTTTTTATTCAGTATAAGGGATGAACATAAAAAATATATCATGATTGATAAATTTAGAAAAATATTTAATTAAAAGAAACCAATAAAATAATTTTCTATTAATGGATTAATGAAGTGGGCCATGATAATGAATAACTCTGCTGTCTGTGGTTTTACATTTAATTAGATTAATAATTATAAATCTAGTTAAGTACAATCCAAGTATATTGACTATAATAATTACAGTATTTTCTTAATTTACTGTACAAGGTCAAAAAATACATTCAGAAAAAACTATGGTGGTTTGTAAGTTGATGATTGTATAATCATTAACATTTCAAATGGTACTCATTCTAAATGTATTTTTTTCCCAATAAATATACGTATTTTAGTTATTGATATGAAAATAAGCCTACAATAACGTATAATATACGTTTCCGCCATTGATGTTATAAAAGTGTATGTTGATATCTTTTAGAAAATGATTCAGTGATGCCAACTTAAAATATTGATAATTAAAACGATTTTAAACAGAATATGTGTAACTTGAACCACAGAATAGTTTGTGTTAAGAATATGATAAGCTCAATTTACTCAATAATCGATATCTATGGTTTTAAGTAACATTTTTTAGTTAAACTATTGTATATTCGCTGTACGTTTGATTTCTGATCGTGTATAAAATTATGGATACTAATAATTATTTGTGTAAATAACATTAATGAACCAGTTAAAACCTTTAGTAATTAAATTTCAATAAAATTATAATAAAAATTGCAAAATTGATAATTATGGATGGTATTATTCATTTGTTTTTATACATTCAAATTAATTTTTGCTGTGTACATTAGTTGAAACTCGACAAAAAGTATTGATACTGTATTTAAAAATTATATGTAATTAATATTTATTTAACTTATAAACTATTGTTACTATACAAACTATGCTTCTTATTTTTAGGACACATTGTATAAAAAATATATGAATGAAATATATTTCAGTTAATTTATTTTAATTCAATATAGTAGATTACATAAATGGTAAGTTCATACATCTTATGATCTATAATTATAGTTTAAGTCTTCACATTTTGTATTAGTTTTTGCTAATAGTTCATTTCTTATTCTAAAAATTAAAAATTTTATCATTATCTACAGAATCTAAAATATTTAAAACTGCTTATCTAAAATAAGTACTTCAGCACAGGCTAAACAAAACAGAATCTTTAGGCTGAATTAAAAATGGTCAACTATATCTTAAAAAATACCAGTAATGTTAGAAACCAGAGATTTTTCTTATTTTTAAGTTTTTTTAAGTACATGTTTAAATTTATTCAACGTACATCTTGTAAATAAAGTGCGGACCATTTTATTATAAATGGTTTATCAATTGAACAATGATATACAATGTTTAAAAACAAGAAAACTCCTCTCTATAAACCATTGTTTTAATAATCTAATCTGACTGACATACATTTTTAAGAGCCAATGTTAATTTAAATATCTTTCCCATTTGTTAATTGTGTTATTATAGTATCTGAACCATTGCTCTCTATTAAAAATATTTTATATGACCGGTGCTAATTTGGTAGGCCTACTTCATGATGAAATATTTTTGGTATAATATATTAATGATAATTTTTTATGAAACACTGAATATTATTCCCTTTTACTAGAAATTTTTTTGTTTTTATGGAGAAAGTTGTCCCCTTTATACCTCCCATAATTAAATTTCTAATATACATTTTTTAATGTTAAGAAAAATAAACATCTGTTTATTACCAATGTACTTGACATAACTGAAACCAACTTTATAATAGCCTATAAAACCCTATATATAATCTTTTTGAGTTCAGTATATCTGTGAGTAAAAGAAAATTAAAAATTAAACCTAAAAATATTATCTAGAATTTAGGTAAAAAAAAATATTAGCTTTGCATTGAAACTAAACATTTCTTCAAATATTATTTAACTAATTTTTTATATATTTGACAACTTAATTATATTATAAAAGATGTTTAACTTAACATTGACACAATATTATTGTTGTTCATGATAATATCCTAATTTTTTTTTTTTTTTTTTACAGTGTAATGAAAAAAAAACATGTATAAACAAAATTTTCCTGAAAATTTAAAATATTCATACATTTATATCATAGTATTTTTGGATTTAGTTGGTATTAGTTTAATCATTCCAGTACTGGGAACACATTTGAGAAGTATCGGAGCTAGTCATTTTCAAGTAGCACTTTTAAGTTCTACTTATTCAGCTCTTCAATTTTTATCTGGCACTTTTATTGGTGCTCTTAGTGATAAATATGGTCGTAAAAATATACTTCTTTTAACTTTAAGTATTTGTGCACTGGCATACTTTGTTTTAGGTATTATAAAATCTTTTGTTCTTATAGCTGTAGTCCGTCTTATTCAAGGGTGTGTAAAACACACTCAACTTTTATGTAAAATTTTAATTAATGATATTGTACCACCAGAGCAACAAACAGCAGCATATGGTTGTATGAATGGCTTTGCTGCATTATCGTTCATTATTGGTCCAATTGTTGGTGGTCATCTTATGGAAAAAAATGAAGGATTTTATATTTTAGCTTGCTGTACTGCTATTGTTTTTTTACTTAATGTCCTAGTTATATGGCTGACAGTTCCTAATACATTAGTTATATTAAATCCAAAAACTTTAAATAAAAATATAAAAAATTCATCTCCATTTAATGATCTATTGGAAGTTGATTGGAAGGAATGTTGGCCTGCGTTTTCTTTGAAAATGTTAGGCGCAGCCTCAATGTTTGCATATTACAACTCTGTTAGCTTAGCAATAAAAGAAAAGTTTAGTTTATCACCAAGTGAAGCTGGGTATACAGGAGCTATTCAAGGATTTACTGGGGGAATTACTGGGTTTTCAGCTGGTAGTATTGAACATTTATTTATGTTCAAAAACCCATTTTCTAAGTGTTATTATTCTTTTTTTTTACTTGGAACTGGATTTTGCACTCTAGCATTATCTCCTACTGTAACTATATTTACTTTAGCACTCATACCAATCACTATTTCTAGTACATTGCTTAGGGGATATAACAATGAAATATTATATGAAATTAGTTCAGTTGATCATAGAGGACTAATTGCTGGCGCAGGAGCTAGTGTTACTGCAATATCAAGATTTATATCACCATTGTTATGTGGATTAACAATGGATATTTTTGGTAGTAGTTCTGGTTTTATTTTGTCTGCTATATTTGCATTTGCTGGTGCATTTTTATCAAAAATGCTTTCTAAAAAATCTAAAAATGATTGATACTAACATTAAAACCAATAATATTTAAAAATTGACTATTTATGTTGTATAAATTTCAAATATTTAAATAATATTCTAATTTTTAATATTTAAAATTATGTACTGGGTTTCAATTTGAAATATGATGCTATTAGTTTAAGTGTAAGTTATTATTGTTATTTAATAGTAGTTAAATTTTATATTAAAATATTATATATGTTTATGTTAATTTTAAGGAATTTAAATTTATGACTTTGAAAAGATTACTATTTTAAATTAATGAAATTAAGTTACCATTAAAAGCAAATTGTGATTTTATAAAATTAAATACTATAGCTTCCATGCTAAGTTAGAAACTATTAAAATCACTGTGTTTATTTATTTATTTTTTGTGTCTATAACACAAATTTTTTTGTGTCAATTGTTACGTCGCTATTTAGGGGTTGAGCCTAAATGCCCGTCAACAGTATTCTAAGGGACTAACGGCGGATAGCTAGTTAGGCTATATCTACCTTAGGTACTGTGGTTTCCTATTCAATTTATATTCCCTTAGATGAACTACCAAGGGTCGCACTACAATATATACAGGGTGTTCAGTAAGTCAGGAAACGGGTTTCTATTGTTCTCATTGTTTGTAACAATTGACCTGTTTCCTTACTTACTGAACACTGTGTATATAACACTCTTGGTTAACAACGATATAAATAAATATTTATTAAGTGATTGAAATATTTAATTGATAATACAACCTGCTGGACACCAAGAGATGATATAATTCAACAGAGAGCTGATGGCGACACACGCACGCACTATATACGTGGTAGAAAAGTTAAGTTAATTATAAGACAAAAGTAGTGGTCGCGATAATGGTAAAAAGTCAACTTCTTAGCTCTTGCTGGAAAGATATTGAAAAACAGTACGACAAATTATCAAAAATCGTATCTAATCAAAGGCACTACCCTTAAAAATCAAAAAAATTTTACACGTTCCTTGTAAATGGGGAATTCTCCAGAAAATTCCATTTTTATAATGAGTAATTTTCGACTTTTAGTTTCGATGCGAAGCTGAGAAGGTATTAATTTTACCATGATGTGTTTATTTTTTTTTTTGTGTCTGTCACTACTTTTTCTCAGCTCTCACTGGACCGATTTCTTTAACAATACGTCAAAAGATCACAAATTGTATCTAGTTGAAGACATTACCCTTAAAAATTTAAAAATTTTCCCTCGTTCCCCGCAAATGGGGGAAATATCCAAAAAAATTACAAATTTAAAAATCGACAAATTTTGTCATTTTTTTCACTTTTTTTTCTTAAAACTTCCATAACTTTTTCAAAAATCAACAAATCAACATAATTTTTTTTTAAACTAAAACCTTAGATATTTTCCTTTCATTTGATATAATTTTTTTGAAAATTTAACACTTAACCTGCTCATGGGGGGGGATTTAAAATTGCAACTTTTTTACAAAAACTAACTTTTTCAACTTAATTTTTGAAAATGTTCCGGAAATACTGCGTCCTTTAAACATATATCAAATTGAAGCTTATTTTATGTACTATAAAATGAAAAAAAAAAATTTGTCCCGACACTTTATCTTCTGCATGTAAACAGTAAACGGTTGCCGTAGTTAAAAAAACACTATTTTTGTGTTAAAATTTTCGATTTTTAATTTTCAACTTAAAAATGCTATAATTTTTCGAAAAATGTATGTATCAACAAAAGTTTTTTTTTTCTAAATACATTATAAGTACATCTTTCATTTGACATACTTTTTATTAAAATTGGACAATTTCCCCATATATAGGGGGCGTTCAAAACNTTTTTTGAAAATTTAACACTTAACCTGCTCATGGGGGGGGATTTAAAATTGCAACTTTTTTACAAAAACTAACTTTTTCAACTTAATTTTTGAAAATGTTCCGGAAATACTGCGTCCTTTAAACATATATCAAATTAAAGCTTTTTTTATGTACTATAAAATGAAAAAAAAAAATTTGTTCCGACACGTTATCTTCTATGTGCAAATGGCTGTCGAAATTAAAAAAAAAATGTAATGTGTACGATAAAAATCACCTTCTATCGGAATGTTTTTTGTACTTAAAACTCCCTTAACTTTTTCAAATATTAACTAATCAAAATAATATTTCTTTATATTGAAACCTTAGGTAATTTCCTTTCATTTGATATCATTTTTTTATTGAAAATCTAACACTTATTCTGCTCACNTGATATAATTTTTTTGAAAATTTAACACTTAACCTGCTCATGGGGGGGGATTTAAAATTGCAACTTTTTTACAAAAACTAACTTTTTCAACTTAATTTTTGAAAATGTTCCGGAAATACTGCGTCCTTTAAACATATATCAAATTAAAGATTATTTTATGTACTACTAAATGAAAAAAAAAAATTTGTCCCGACGACCTATCTTCTATGCGCAAAAGGCTACCGTATTCAAAAATATGCTACTTTTTTTATTCAAATTCTGGGTTTTGTATTTTATTTTATTTTAAAATATCTTATTAGGGGAATAAACTGACTTTTATGAATATTATATAATGTCATTGACATAGAATAAAGTTCATAAGACATATGAAATTATACTTNAGAATAAAGTTCATAAGAATATGAAATTATACTTATTAAAATTTTTTTACTTTTTTAAAGTCGAAAAAGTAATTTTTAAATTTGAGTTAGCTTAAATAAACAAATTTATCATGCAACAAAAGCAACGAACAGTTGCCGAAGGGATAACAACTGTGTTTTCCACGCTTATGGTACGAGGTTCAAATCCGTCTGTGGCTTCTAAAAATTTGCATTTTTTTTTAGTTAGAATAGAATTGTCAAATCATTTGATATTTATCTCATTTAGATTCAATAATTTCAATAAATATAAAGGATCTTATCACTAGAGTTTCTCCTCGTGAGAAGAAATTTATATTCATGTTAATATTATTTTACTATGTGGTTCTTTTTGTGGATACGATATATTTTGCCAACCCTCACTAGACCTACTTTTTTCAACGATACGTCAAATGATTCATTTAAGTTTATGATATTTAAGTTAATGATTAGTTTAAGTTATTACTCTTAAAAATCAAAAAAATATTCCTTATTCAAATAAAAAGTAGCTTAACTAGATTTGTCCATACAAACAATTAAAATCATTAATTTTTAATATTCTTAAATTATTTATTGTCGAATTAAATTTGATATGATAAAAGTATTCAACTACAAAAGTAAATAATTTTACTTTATAATTTATTAATTTTTTAACTCTATTTCTGTGTGCTACTACCAGTCTATAATATGCCAAATTTTTTTGTAATATGTTGCTATATAAATCATAAATTTAAAAAAAAAATGATTTTTAGTTTCACCTGAATTTAACAATGGATTTTTACAATAATAATTATATTTTATAATACGCTCAATTGAGTAAATCGNTGTTACCATAACTTATAGTTCAACTTGCAAGTTTGAAATTGACATTATTAAATTGAAAAAAATGAAATTTTTAATTAAAATTAATTAAGTTCTGAATATTTCAATTGCAGAATCTTTTTAAACACCAAAAGTTATTAGGAAATGATTACTANTTTTTTTAAACACCAAAAGTTATTAGGATATGATTACTATTCTTTCTATTTCAGTTATCTATTACGATAAAAATGCAAAAAAATCGAATTTTTCTGATAAATGTACTGTAAATAGTAATTATAAATNTCGAATTTTTCTGACAAATGTACTGTAATTAGTAATTATAAAATTTCCAGATTGCATATTAATCTTAAAAATTTCATTTTTTTCAATTTAATAATGTCAATTTCAAACTTGCAAGTTGAACTATAAGTTATGGAGTTATAAACTATATTTAGCTTCGATGCGAAGCTGAGAAGGTATTTTTCATTAAAACTTTCACTTTAAAAGACAATAAAAAATAGGTTCAAAATGATTACCTTTAACATATTAAAAATCAAAATCAGTATTAATTTAATACAATTTTTTTTGTTCTTAATTATTTTTTTTTATATGTAAATACTTATTTTTTAATAATAAGTAATAATATTAAAACTTAGAAGTAATAGAAAAAGTTTAATTGCACATTTGAAAACATCACGAAAAGTTTATTTAGAAAAGTATATTTTTTTTCTGATGAAAGTTCCTTTTGTTTAGTGTATTTATTCATAAGTAACAAAATTTTTTTATTAAAAAGTATTGCATAAATTCCTTTAAATTTGTATACGCATTAAAAGTATATGAATATACAACTCCTTTTTATTTTTATAATATCTCCGTAAAAATTACAATATTATATTATTGAATACCACTTTCATACTCAATTTAATTACTGTAATTATTATGTATTCATATATTATAGTTATAAATCGGGGTAAAATTAAGGGAATAAGTGTTATTGTTGTTTTTGAAATAATCTACCAATTTCATTTTTTTCTATTTAATAATATTTATTTCAAACTTGCAAGTTGAGTTAAAAGTTATGGTAATAAATTCATTTTTTTTTTATTAAAACTTTCACTTTAAAGAACAAAAAGAAGTAGGTTCAAAATGATTACTTTTAACATATTAAAAATCAATAATAATTTGAAAATAATTAATTATAAAAATTATATAATATATAATTAAAATAATTACTAATCTGGATATAATTAAGGAAATAGGAGTTGATGTTGGGTTGGGTTGGTTACATTTTTAACTTTATAATGCTATAACTCATTGAAAAGTGTATGAATCAACACAATTTTTTTATGAGAAATAATATTTTTTAATAATCCCTTTTTCATTCGACATACTTTATCTTAATCAGGGTATTAATAAGGAACTAGCAGATCATGTAGCTTTTGTAATTATCCACCAATTTCTTAGAATTAAACACTATCTACAGATTTGCATCGAAGCGTTTCTTATGATAGTGATTTTAATCACTGTCAGATTAAATCTATACTGGACCCAACTATGCAACGTCCCCACTATGCCGCGACCCCACTGTGCTGGGTTTTTTTTTAACTTGAAACTATTTGAAAAATGAATGAATCAAACAAATTTAGTCTTTATAAATAACTATATCTATATTATCTATGTTTAACATATTAATGTATCGGCATGATTTATGTTATAAAAAATGTATTTTAAAATTATTGTTTTTAAAGTTTAAGCAAATAACTAAAGATAATTAAAAAATGGCATTCCACTATATATAGATCTCAGCATAAGTTTTGTGTGTTAGTGTTCATTGGTTTTAATTTATACTATT